TATAATATGCTTATGCATCACACCTATCTATATAGACTTAGGATTCTTCTGATTTATATACTCGGCTGTGGCGTTGAGAGTGTTGACATCCAGAGTCGGGACAAATGAATAAAAACACAAAACAAATTGCTGCATAGTTATCTCCATTAACATGTACTTATTTACTCTGACACACACACGCATAGCCGCTATAGATTCACTAGTTACTTACGGTCGAGTACACGCGCCTTGATGCCGATTCCCAACCCATTGTGTCTGGCGAAGGTATCACTGGGCGGGTCTGTGAAGCTGAGCGAGTCTTTGATGATCTCATCAATTTCATCCGCCAAAACCAAGGTGACGCACGTGCTCTCTGCTTGCACTAGACCTGCATCAGAGAAGAGATGAAGGCAAAGATATATTTAGTTTAGTAAGGTTTATGTCTCTTCTCTGCCGGGCGCAAAAACTGAGTTATCTAGCACTCGATTATAGATTTTTCTAAAAATAAACCCTCACGTGGATATATATATACATCAATAGATAAATAAAGTGTTCTTCAAAATACAGCATACCTTGATCAATCAGCTGAGATCGTTCCGGAAACGTTGTCTTCCGCGACCAGAGACCTGGGTGGTACGATAAAAGTCCGCCCGCCGGTTTGGACAGAAAGCTGCAGTATCAACGAGCAAATTAACGTTTATATAATATGCTATCTTAATATATAAATAAACTAGATAGACATACACCTACATAATAGTGTGAATTTACACATATTGAAATATGTTAGTATATTTCATATTTTATCACAATACAAACAGATATATATATATATATATATATATATAGATACAAAAATGATATATATGCATGTACGTAATATATTTATATATATATATATATCATGTTTATACATATATATCATGAATATATATATATATATATATATATATATATGTATGTATGTATGTATGCTGTACGCTGACGTACAAGACAGCATGCTCTATCCTGTCCTATTATATGAAATTAGCTATACATAAAACTCCCAGTTCAAAGTGAGTATCTACGCAAACGGTTGTGCAAGCACGATTACAGACGAACAGAAACTGGACTGAAACTGTATAGACGTTTGATTTCCGATGCACGAGCACGTATTTGCATAAACGAATGCACAAGCTCAATCGACTACAGACAAGAACACTTTGGGTTCACAAATACGTACCGTGTAGCTTGATTCATTAGCATAAACACATCGCCCTCTGCGCCGAAACGGAATCTCCGAGGTTCCGGGACTACGAACTCCTGATCATAAATGCTCATTTCGGCAGTGACTATTTAATTATGCCGATATATACGTGATACTTGACGTATTGCTAGTGGAAAGGTGTGGTAGTATGGCCAGAAGCAAGTATGTCACACTAAGAATATGCACGTGGTGCTTAACGTATTACAGATAGAAGTTTGACTGAGAGTCGACACAAAGCTTGAAATGGCTTGCTGATATGATGGCTGGTTATAGTATACACTCAAATACAACTAGGGTATGTGATGTCTGGTGAGTGGTGTTGTGTGTGTGTGCTGTATTCCATATACTCAGACGCACTTAGCGTATGTGAAGTCTGTTGAGTGGTGTCGTGTGCACACGCTATGCATCGTACTGAATAGAGGTCTCAACGTCTATCCATTTTGTACCCATGCTTCAAATGTTATTTCGTTTTACAAGTAAACGCAAAAATGATTGATATACGTTTTAACGTAAAAATGATAAATTCACTCGAGAATTACACCCCATCAGTTGAAATAGCGTTCTCACTTCTACGCGAGAAAAGAACGGTTATTAAATATTTAGTTATTACGGTCTGCAGAGTGCAGAGTGCAGAACATTTTGTTTTTTTGTTTGTTTTTAAAAAAGAAATAAAAAACAGTTTTACACTCCGTCTGCAGGCGGGAATTTTTTGGCGGGCTTTCAAAAATGTGGGGCCTAATTGCCCTAATAAATTAAGGTACATGTCCGATCATGGCATAAATACGCCTTTCATATTTATTTATTTTCTACTCTCTCTCTACTCTCTAGTAGAGAGGGACATGAAATATTTGTTCGTTTTTATATTGCTTATGTTACTTCAAGAAGCCTACATAGGCTACAAGACTACGTACAACAGTATCTTTGAATATTTGTCCATGGTAAAGCACGGACTGGTGGCTAGGTGGGTAGAAATCCTCTTTCGATCGGTGTTCGCCCCCACGGTCTAATTTTAACAATGTGTACATTTTTTGCTTCAAACTTGTTTTAGTAGTGGAATATACCAATAGTACATCTTTTGCGGTCAGATACATGACTTTTAAGTAGATAATAATACATAGTATTTATGTGTCAAACTACCATATCCGGTGCAATCGAGGTGCTTTTGTCAGTCTGCTTTAGAATGTCGATGCTGAGGATTCAATTGGTATACAAATGATATACACTCAGTGCGCATTGAAATGTAAGATAGATCCAACATATTCATCTGTTGTAATTTTATGTTGAGCGTACGTTCGACACCGAACATTAGCCCAAGTCGGAGGGAACTGATTTCTATTTTATTTTAAAACTTACCTTGGGACATCCTCTTGGTTTTAGCAAGATTTTATATTTGATTCAGTAGGTCACAGTGAAGTCTACTAGCACACAACTCGACATCAGAGATTGACTATTAAGACCTACGTTAATGTTGGAGTTGATGTAATTTTAAAATAATAGTTTCGAAATCCGGAGTGATGGGAAAATTTGGTACTCCTTCAATCACATCGAAATAAAGTATCGTATCAATCATAGTTGTACACCAACCTGAAGAATTACAGACACTTTGCCACACATATTTAGTCCATATAACGGATTCTAGTCCACTTTAGTTCATATTACAAATTCTAGTCAACTCTAACCCAAATAGCGATGAGTTTCTTTCGGTTCTTAATGGTAGTCAACCCATTTCCCTAGTTGCGTGGAATCAGGGCAAGAACGAGATCTCGTCGTCCAATACGTTCGAGGTACCCATCCGTGATCTTCAGCGTTTTTCATACATGGAGTAAAGGCCATGCCAGGGCGAAGACAGCGGCATTCTCGTCGCATTTATGCATGAGTTCAAGTAGATATATACCAGTTGTCCAAGACAAAAACGCACAAGTTGAAATTTTAATTAATGGTTTGAACTCGTTCTGTTCGTGTAAAATACAAGAGTTTATATATTAATCAACTTGTCACATTGTCACTGTCACATTGTATATAATTCCAACTACAATGTCAACAGTGCAAGCCTAACAAATCGCAATGTCAATTAACTTTCATTGCTATCTTTACAGCCCGATAGAAATCTGTAAAGTTTGTATTCGTTTATGTATCAAATTACATCAGATTGATGCTCAGACTTCCTGGACAACATAAAAACTACGAGTATTGAAAAAAAATTCAAACACATGCACAAATGCTTTTACAGTTATTGCATTTGAACTGGAAAAATGAACACACAAAAGCTTATCACTCTGGAATGCAACTCTTATGCAATAATTCGATGGTGTCAAATTCTAGCTCGTCGATTGATTATGAATGGAAGGTCTGTATTAATTCTCGAAACCTAACTATATGCTAACAAACTGTAAAAAGTCGAAGTCTAACCACTTTCAGTGAGGACCGGACAACATTAGGTTTATAATCAAGCGCATGACCAAGAAATAGATATCAAATTTATGTTCTGTTATTCTTAAACTCGTTTCTAGCAAATTTTTATTTACATGTACTATATACAGCAACTAGAATTTAAAAATCGCAATCACGCAACAGAATCAGCAACTTGCAAGTTGCAGAAAACATTCCTTTTTAGAAAACACAGTCAAATTTGGAGCTGCGGATAAAACTTCAAACTGCCAAACGATTTGCAATTTCAGAATCATTGGTTGATCAGCATTTTATTCTTCTATACCTCTACTAGACCCTTTGATATTAAAAAGTCCTAAACACTTTGCAGGAGTTGAGAGCAGCTTAGGCATTTCTTCATGGATGTTGGTCGATTGGGGTGTCTTTTGCAGCTGGCTGGATCAAGAGCATCCGATTCCAAATTAATACAAACCTTTCCTGGAAAGTGGAAACTGCCATGACATATATTTATAGAAATAAAAATGATATATATTTACATAAAAATTTAAAATTAACATGTTCCTCTCTTTATCGCGCGCTCTCTCTCTCTCACTCTCTCTCACTCTCTATATATAGAGAGATAGACTGCAGAGGAAGAGAGACTATGTAGTAGAGAGACTCTGTATTAGAGAGAGCCTGATAGAGAAGTACAAATATTCATGGCTGATCGGACTCGCAACAGTCTGGCCATTGGCGTCCGGAGGACAAATTTGCTGGGTTGGTAAACGACGCCGAAATTGTGGCAAACGACATTACTGATTGTATAGCGTGACGAAATTGTAGGAGATTTTTTGTCGTTTCAGGGTTTTATAAAGGCGACATCTATCAATGTACAACTGTACATCAAATATAACTAAACGATATGTCATACATGTTGCCGCGATATTTTACCATGAGGCGTGTGTCTGTGTGACTGTGTGCGTCGTTGTCGTATACCAACCCAGCAAATAAATTCGAAATCATTAAATCCTATTCTGCTACATTCTGATCTAGACTTCTAGACCTAATCGATTATAGTCCTCTCTAGTAGAGACTAGAGTCTCTCTAGAGAGTCTCTAGATTCTACTAGAGGAGAGAGAGTCTAGAAACTCTTCTAGTAGAGTGCATTTTTCAATAGATGGTTGCGTTGTTGATGACCAATGATTTGTATGTTTTATTTGTACTTCTGCTTTTATTGTCTAAAAGATTGCTGCAGTTTGCCAGTTTGTATGAGAAACAATTTTTTTGCTTTTTTTTGTTTTGAAAAAAAAGGTTATCTATGTGTACATACGTACATACATACATATTTTTGAAATATGTGTTTGTTTTTAAAAAAACAACTTGTTCTCACTTTTCAAAAGTTCTCACTTCTCGTTCTTGTTGCGTTGTCACTTGTCACTTGTGACTCTGTGAGTTGTGACTTGTGCGTTGTTATGTACTTCACTTCACTCTTCAGTCTTCACAAATCATCACACAATCACACATGAGTCATGAATCATGACCCGTTGTTTCTTTTCTTTTTTCTTCTCTACTAGTAGAGTACATATCAGCCAAGACAATTAACAAGGTACCCAAAATCAGACATTCTTGACACTTTTTGTGAGCTGGTATCAAATATCAATGGCATGATTTTACATATCAGGTATGAACTTATTCTCAACCTAATATGCAGCAGAGGAGATTAACTTCAGGTATGTATTCCTTTGTTCTACGGTTACTATGCAGACGACCAAAAATTACAAATGATGCGCGAATTGAAGCCTGTACTTTTAACATATATTCTTATATTCTGGCGTTTTCGAGTGCCTATGATTTCCAAATTTAAAATATATTCCCTGCTGACAATGGTGCGCTGAAGCAGGTATCGATCGATCTGCTTCCGAATATTGATCACTTTTTGCACATATTTATTTAATGCTCTGTTGATTTTTATATTTAAATATATACTCATAGTTCAGTTGTCGAGTAGCCATCGAAATCAACGCTGGTGTGAGTTCTATGACAATGTCTACTAGAGCTGATGTCCCTCTTTTTGCTATTTTTTGAAGATGTGCATCGCCCGTTCGCGACCATAGTAGCTCGTGTTATTTTCTGGAAAAGTTTCTCCTTTACGACTAAATCTGTACAACCCCTGCAATTTTTTAGAGGGGAAGCGATGCAGAGAATCAAAGAAATGTACTCTAGAGATAAGTTCACGACTACATTATTTTGATTTGGATTTATTCGCGGACTATGTAGAAGCGGCAAATTATATAAATAGCGACGAAATTGCCTGACAAAGTTCAGTATTATAATACAATACTATCCATACTCTGATTAAGATGGCTAACGCGCTTTAGATTTTATTAAATATCCCACTCGCCCTCGTTGGCGCTGTCAGTTTAGATTCCGTTTCCAAACAGAAAACCAGCTCAGTCGTGAGAAGACAGGAGGGTTGCCTCTATGATCAAAGCCCAGCAATTCTGCTGGATGGTGCAGGGTACTCTCAAGTAGATGGATTGTACATCCCGGTGGAAAATGGCTGTGATCATTCTCACTACGGGGAGATCTCTGGCGAACAATACTGGAAAGGCTATATCAACCGAGACAACACGGTGAACGAGCCTCGAATCATGTACTGGGATCATTCTAGTTACCCCTCTATCAAAGGCTGGGGAGTGATGGAAGGTTCTCACCACCGCTACCACGACGGTGCCAACACCGACAGCCCAACTTCCCTCGTCCTGACTGAGTGGATGACTCGAACTGGGTACGCTACTGATCCTGTTCCAACTATAACGTGCATTGCCGAGTATGACCTTCCTGCTGGGTCGGATTGCACTAATACCCAACTGTGTGCTTCGGGTCTGGTGTACCTATCGGACAACTCGTGCGGTGTCGAAACAGCATCACTGGACCTAGCCAAAGAGAGAGGTTGTCCCTCCTCTTCCGTGACTTCGAACTTTCAGCCTGTACCTGCGAGTGTCGCTAACGTTCGATGTTGCCATGACACTTTGCCCTGCATGAGCAACGATAATAACAATCAATGCCATGCCGATGTGGACAGAGACACGGGTGGAGATACCTGTAAGGATACCATGTTGTACCCTGCTGGAAACCGTTTGTGTACAAGTTTGGAGCTCGCAAGTGGAGCGTGTTGCGGTACTGAATGTTACTTCAATACCAAACCAACGTGGATCTTGGAACGATCGCACCCTGCACCTGAAGTGGCCTATAACGGATGCCTGACTCAGGGTCAATCCACGCCAGTATCGGACACTGTCAGCTATGCCGCTGTGCGCTGTTGTTCTCTTGATGGACTAAGCTGTAAATCCAAGATAGGCGCTAATAATCGGTGCCCAGAAGGGGTTAGAAAGGCAGATGCACTGGCCACGTGCACAGATGCCGGCTTAAGATTGTGTACAGTCGAAGAGCTGCACATAAACAATATTTGCTGTTCCTCTGGTTGCAACTTCGACAGCAAGTTTGTAGGGACTCAGTAGTCACCATTGTTGGGGCTGTGGCCGAAAGAACGCCAAGTGTGGACCGAGTCCATTGCTATGGTCTACTAGAGCCACCGCTTTCAT